GTACATTTGCTGTTATATTAAAGTTTTCTTCATTACCCATTCAAGCCGTCTCCAGCCATTATATTTTAGGTTAGTTGAACTTAAAAGTAAAGAACGCCTTTTTTTCCTTATTCGTCGGACTACTGACAATATATAGGTGTTTTACATTGGTGTCACATCACTCCTTTATTTAATAGCTCTACTACTGACAATATAGAGGTGTTTTACATTGGTGTCTACGTTATTTCTTTATTTAATAGCTCGTACGCTAACTATTAGACCATATACAGCCCCAAGTATTCATTTATATTGTGAAAATAAACTGTAAACTTAAGATGAAAAAAAGTTTTTTTTTTGTGTGGAATTATACACGGACTGTTCTCTACCTTAAAAATACGTTTATGTGCGAGCTTTCTGTCCTCCTACTGGAGCCTTCTTCGGGCAACAATGTAGTGAGCGATACCAATTCGTTGATCTGTGGGACATTGCTTTAAAACATGTGTCTAGGCAACAACCAGTGAAATATTTGAACTTTTACTAAAGCCGAATAATCAAAATCCTTGATCGTTGTATCTGTATAACAGTATACAAGTCTTATTAACATTGTCACTTAACAAGGTTTAATATAAATCGATTACTTGAATACAATGAAAATGTAATTATTGATATTATATGGAAGGATAAATTGTTCATATTTCAAAAGGTTTAATTTTACGTCGCTACCACGACAAGTAATATGTTTTATGTCTTTGATAAGTGATGTCCATATTTGTGTTTGGTTGGTAATAACTAGTTGATTGTTACTCAGTTTTGTGTTTTCTTTGCCTATTATTTTAGCATTTGTTTAGGTCTGTTATATGTCGTTTTTCTGACCGCGAAAAGCTATAGCTGATGTGTTTATATCACAGTTAATATCTTAATATCTCTGTAGTGTTAATTTTCATGTTTGCCGATGGCTAGCAGTAAGCTTTAGGGCTTTAAAACGCTAATATCGGGTTCGATACCCACCGTGGGTAGAGCAAGGTTTTGTTAAACGGCTAATCGCTCCCTCACATATACATATACGTATTTAAACACATTGCTGCAATCTGTGTCGTCAACTCTTTTGTTGTTACAATAGGTGTGAAGCCATCCCATAGTGGAAAACCTGACCCATTGTTTACTTGCGGTGATCAGTTCGGCTACTACCCAGACCCAGAGGACTGCAGCCAGTACTACGTCTGCGTATTCGGGGACGCTCTGCATGAGAGCTGTACGGGTGGCTTGTACTTCAGCACTGAGCTACAAACCTGTGACTGGCCGTCAAATAGCAAGTGCGGTGGCGGTAAGTTACCCTTGCTTATAAACAGCAAGTTTAGTGATAGTAGTAAGTTATATTTACTTATAAACAGCAAGTTTAATGGTGGTAGTAAGTTATATTTACTTATAAACAGCACGTTTAGTGGTGGTAGTAAGTTATATTTACTTATAAACAGAAAGTTTCATGGTGGTGGTAAGTTATATTTACTTATAAACAGCAAGTTTCATGGTGGTGGTAAGTTATATTTACTTATAAACAAAAAGTTTAATGGTAGTAGTAATTTATATTTACTCACAAACAGCAAGTTTCATGGTGGTAGTAAGATATATTTACTTATAAACAGAAACTTTCATGGTGGTAGTAAGATATATTTACTTATAAACAGCAAGTTTAGTGGTGGTAAATTCTGCATTCTTATAAACATAACACACATGTGTTGATGATGGTGAATATTGTTCTTTTTTTTTAAAACAAAGCGTGTTGGATAAAGATAATGAAATAGAACCGGACAGTCCGTTCCCAAGTTCTCAATCGATATTTATAAGTGATTTTTAGATGAGGAGTATGAAATACCAAGGAGAGAAATATAGGGTTGTATTTCATACTCCTCATCTAACAATCACTTATAAATATCGATTGGGACCAAGGAGAGAAATATAGGGTTATTCCAATCGATATTTATAAATCACTAGCAGGAACGCCACCTGTAGGGCGGCTGTTACGACTAATATTTACTAATCGTAGTATTCATACCTCATTTTAAAAATGTAGAAAAATTGAACATTTTCTAAAAAAAAAAATTATTTCTGAGAAGTACTGCACGGGAAAAGTGTTCGGATTGTGCTCTTTGGTCATACACAACTCTTTGCATCAAAATGATTCAATGTACAGAGCTCAAAATTTTCATAAATTTTACTGATATAAACTGTAATGTTTTTATATATTAAAAGTGGTACCGTTTATTGAAAAAAAAAATAAGAACCCCCAGTTTCTCAGGACTTCATTTAATAATTACGTCAACAAACATATAACACAGGCCTGCGAATTTAAACTTCGTAAATTGTGTTTGTAATTGAGCACAAAGCTACACAATGGGCTATCTGTGCTCTGCCCACCACGGGTATCGAAACCCGGATTCTAGCATTGTATGTCCGCAGACATACCGCTGTGCCACTGAGGGGAGGCAACTTCATAAAAGTTGGTTTGGTTTTAATAATGGATTTTTTATAATTCACCTACGCAAATTTCGAAAATAATATTAATTTTTTTATATCACGTAAGAAGTTTTTAGAAATGGGAAAGAAAAAAAACACTTACTTAGATCAAATTTACCGCAAATATAACAGAGTAGGTTTGGGTCATTTACACAACATCTTGTTGCCATAGCAACGAATAAATCATATTG